AGGAGGAGGAGGGAGAGGAGGGAGAATAGCAAGAAGAGGAGGGGGAAGGAGGAGGGGGGGGAGGAGGAGGAAAAGGAGGAGGAGGAGGGAGGAGGGGAAGGAGGAGGAGGAGGGGGAGGAGAAACGCACACATTTTTCTTTCTTTTACTGGCAAAAGTGTCCCTGTGTGACTGGAGAGGTCATTTTCCCAGAGGGCCTGGTACAGGTCATGTCTGTGGTGAAGATCAACTCTCTCCCTGAGCCCAACACCCCAGGGCAGGACTCTGATGGGACAGAACCAAGCAGGTCCAGGTGGCTGCAGACATCTCCCATGAGTTCCTTGCTCTGACTAGAGTGTAAACACTAAAATATTGAAAACCCCTGGAGTCCTCTTGGTGCATGACGGCCGGTGAAGGATGGCCCCGAGCTCGGCTATATTTAGGCGTCTGCGGGCTGACGTGTCTATTTGTTGCAGAACCACAAGGACCAATTCCAGAGCGAGTCTCCAGTGTGCCGGTCTCCATGGAAACGGTTCTCCAGTTTTGCTAGCCAGGCCCGGGAACAAGGAGCAACACCCAAGGAGCTTCCTCTCTGCTTGTCACACAGAATCGGAGGTCCAGCCTGGGAGGCAGGCTCCTTGGCCTGGAGAGGTCAGCACCCAGCCAGCCTCCTAGCACCCCTGCAGCTCACTTCCGGTTCCCACACCTTCATCTCCCAGCTCCACATCTTTCATTAGTGGGCTTCATAAAGCTGGGGTGACCAGGAGCACCGAATCTGGGCATTCTAAGCAAAGATGTCCAAGGAAGGAGAGAAGGGAGGGAGGAAGGAGGTAACCTCTAGGGAGGACAGTGGGCCCAGGACAGGGGCAGGGGGCATTCACTTTCAGTTTTTGTGGATCATGGGTCTTGCTTTTCAACAGTATCCTGTTTCTTTTAAAATTCCCTAAAACAAGAAGGATTTCTGTTTAGTGGATGACTTTGCGTTGGGGACAATTGAGCCACCCGGAATCCAGAAGGAACCAGGGTCTTCTGTGGACAGAAGAGAAGCAGATCTTCACAGCCAACCACGAGGATGTGTTTTCTTCCTGGACCCCCACTCCTCGGCTTGCCGCAACCTCAAGTCTCCTCGTACCAAACTTATTTCTAAATTTAGCTTTTGTTTTCAGTAGTTATAATTGTGCATGGTTTCATAGGCCAAATAGCACCACAAGGCTTATGGTATAAAAAGTAGAATAAAGAGAGTAAATGAAACATAAAAAGAACAGTCTCCTGCTCTACCTCCTTCTCTACCTCTCCCAGGGAATTCTCGGTGCCATTAGCTCTTTCTGCGGGTGCATAGTGCCTACCGCGTGGCTGAGCACTGCCAGGGTTCTGCCAGCTTCCCTTGAAGTTCCAGAGTCAGACGTTGTCCCTGGCTTTCCCGTGGGAAGAGATGGGACTGAGCTCTTACACACCACAGCTTCAACACGGGCTCTCTCTCCACCCACCTTCCCAAAAAGGTCAGGTCATAATTTTAGTTAGAATAAAATATTCCGTGTACACAGTTATATGCCCCTTAAACACCACAACTGAGCCTGGAAGGATGGATTTCCTTTCTTTTATTTCTAATGATTTCCCTGAAATTGTTTCTTTATTTTCTGTGCTCATTAACTGAACTGTCCACCTTAATTCCCTGGAGAATGGTCCTGGAGAGGTGTGGCCCTCTTCTCCATGAGGCCAAGTGCACTCTGTGGATGCCACGTTCCCCTGGGGCACCTCTGCAGGGCATCCTCCCCCTTAGTCCCAGCCTGCACCACTGGCTGCCTGTCCAGCGTGTGGTGGGAACGGGTTTTCCTTTGCTTCCGTCCTTGTGGTTCCCTTTTCCGTGCTCTGATGCCGACCCCATGTTTTCTGGATCACGTGTCTCCTGTTTTGATGTTTCCCTCTCATTTTAGTGGAGAACAACTTCCTGTTAATTCTGAAAAGGGACCATGACAGTCGCTTTTCATTTCTCCTTCCTGCTGCCCTGTGGTTGGATGGGTAAAGTATACCAGAATGGACTTCTCTTTCCTGTAGTTTGGAGGTCATGCCTCTGCTTTTAGGGGTGCTATTAAAAGTCCAATAATACCCTAATTTCCAATTTTTCTGTATATAACCTGTAAATTTCACTCACTCTCATTTTGCTAAATATATTTTGGTTTAAAACAAGCTTCCCACCCTGGTTGGTTCTCACTGGTTGGTGGGCTGATTGGACTCCCCTCTTCAGCTGTTCAGGGGGGCGGTGCTTGGCCTCTGGGTCCTGGGCTGAGTGAGGGGCTGTAAGCATGGGAAGCCCTGGGGACCCGCTCAGGACTAGGGGCTTCATGGGGTGATTTGGACAGGTTAACTCAGGGTGGGCCAGGATCCCCACAACTACAGTCTTCCAGCTGCTGACGCAGGGTTTATTGGGCTGGAGGAGTGTGTTCTTAGTGAGGGATGCGAAGGTGACTGGGAGGGGAGTCACCTTCCATCAGGTGAGGGGTCTTGTGCCTCATTCTTGTGATAGGTATGGAGCCTCTGTGGTGTCTGGAACCAGGGTCCCTGTGTCTCCTGGTCTTCTGCAGGGATGAGAATGTGTCACAGCTTTTGGCAACATGGGATGGGTCACAGTCCAAGCCCAACTTCTTTTTATGCAAACGTTTAGCTAAACCTTTTGCTTTGGCCTTTCCCCAGGGGGCCTCTTAGGGGTTAGGGTTAGGGTCTCAGTAACAAAAGGACTTTCTAACAAAATGAGTCCCTCTCAGCTGAGCCTGGACACCCTGGGCAGGATGCTGATGAGGACTGATCCAGGGGGACAAAAACAAGACCCCCCCACCCCGCAGAAAGGCTGCAATCTGTGATGGAGGCGCAAGTCTCCCAGAAGCCTCAACTCTCCGACTCTCCAAGGCCCTGAGGGGTTACCGGGTCACAGGGGTGACCTTGGGGCTTGTGGCCCCTCCTACTGTTAACTTGTTAACTTCAGGGTCAGCTTTCTCTTCTGCTGGGTCAGTGATCTCTTGGCTTTCAGTCTTCAAACTTCCAAAAATTCCATTGCTCTTGGCCTTGGTCTTGGTCCCCTGTCCCAGTCTCCTTGTCCTGGTGGTTTTCACTAGTGTGTGGGGTATTAGGAGAAAGTGGAAGTGCCACTAAAGGGGTTAAATCCAGTGCAAACAGAAGTCCCCGGGGGTGACATCTATGTACCCCAAACGTGCTACCCATCTGAAAGTCTCTTTGCCTCCTGTCTGCCCAGTGGGTATGGTGGCCGTCAGCTGCAGGTGGGAGGTGGTGGGGACACATCTCTCCAGAACACATATAGGCTTCCTCCGGCCACTGTCCCCTGCACAGTACAGCTGTTATACAGCAATAACACTGTCTTGGGTGTAAGTCACCTGTAGGTAATTCAGAGTGCGCAGGGGGATGTGGGCAGGTTCTTTGCCAATACAATGCCGTTTTATAGGAGGAGCACCCATGGATTTTGGTATCCTTGGGTGTCTTGGACTCAATCTCTCTGACTGCTGAGGGGCCACTGTGTTAGCCACTGTTGGCTACCCAGCGAGCAACCTTTGTCCCTCAATCAGGACCCTGTCCACGTGGCACCTCGGCTCTCTAGCAGAGCAGTCCCTGCCTGCCCCAGGCTGCCCTGGCACTCTGGTCATGCTGGGAGATGGGCATGGCCTGTGTAGGCTGGCAAATGGGCAGGTTGTGGTCCTTGGTGTCATGTTTGCACAACTGAATTCTAAACCTTGATTTGTCTCTAGATGAGCTTCCAACAGGTGCTTCTGTCCCTGAAAGAGCATCTGGTGTTACCTTTCTGAACTTCTGCTTAGCCCGGACTTTCTCCTCTTGTCCTCGTGAGTAGGATGCGTGCTGAGTTGCCATCTCTGGGTCAGCACCGAGGCAGCCCTGCAGAGGGGAGGGACAGTGCTGCTCACGGGCACCTGCGCCTGCTCTGGGTTTGCTGTAGTTCGGTGTCATGGGGACATCCACCACCCCACCAGCCCCTTCCCAAACCGGAGTGTGACAGCCACCAGGAAGACAGTGGGGACAGGTGCTGGTGTCCAAGTCTGATGCCGAGCGTCCTCCACCTCAGCGCTCCTTTAGGAGCAAAGGGATGATGGGCCACCATGGCCAATGGCCCTGCAACCTGAGAGTAGGACAATTTCCCTAACAACCTGTCCCCAGATACTCTGCAGCTGTCGGGCCAGGTGGCCCTGGCTCCAAGCCCTGCCTGGAGTGCAGTGGGGAAGTGTCCTTTGGGCACCCCTCCTCAGGCTTCCTTGCTCCTGGCACGTCTGCTGGGCTGCTCAAGGGCCCTGTCCCAGGCTGAGGGCTACTTGGACAGGAGCCAAGGGGTGGGCTGTAAGACCAAGTGTTGTGGCTTTTATTTGGTAATTTTCCGTATTTTTTAATCCCTTTGGTAGTGCTGGTGGGAACGGGAAAGGAGCAGAGAATTCAGTACCACACTGGTCCAGTGATGGAGAGCGGCTGGGCCTTCCTGTCACCAGTGTCTATCGGGTAACTTCACAGATGCTTGAAAAAGACTCTTATTACTCATTTCCCAGCCCCCACGCCTGCTCTCACGTCTTGTTTAAGCGCTGGGTGTCCCCTGTGGAGGCAGCGTTGACCCCCTCCTGTTGTTCCAGGTGCCGAGAGGCCATGGGGCCATCTGGGCTCTGCACTGTGACAGTGTCTGGGTTTAGATCCAAGTCCTGAGTGACATCCAGGTGCAGTGTGCAGTGATGGCCTGTGGTGGGTGGAGGCCTCTGCCCTCCAGCTCCACCCTTTCCTTTTAGTGAGAGGCTAAAGACATGTGATCTGAACAGAGTCTGCTCTGGGTCTCTTATGGCCAGTTAGGGTGGCTGAGTGAAGGACACACTCCTCTCCCTCTTGGGGTCCATGAGGAGTTGTGTACCTCTGGATGCCAGGGCTTTCGAGGCCAGACTCTCCCCACTTCTCCCACTGCAGCTTCTAGAGGTCCAAGCACTGTCCTGTAGGGGCTCTCAGAGGAGCAGCCGCCATGTTGAAAAGAGACATACTTAGCGCTGTTTTGACGGGAAGCACTTTGTGGTGGTGGCAGGATGCTTGTCAGGAGTGGAGGGTGTAGTTTACATCATCTCAGTCCATTTTCTGTTGCTGTAACAAAACACTAGAGTCTAAGCCTTTATAGAGAATGGAGGTTTATTTAACCTTTGATTCTGGAGGCTGGAAAGTCCAGGAGCAGGGCACTGCAGCTGCTGGCACCAGTGTCTGCTCAGGATGGCGAGGCCTTCTGGCTGCAGCCTCTCATGGC